CAATTTGCCCCAATTTGTTAGTTAGAACGTTCTCAAACCAAGTTCACGAATTGTCAAAGAAATCTATGTAGGATACAAATAAATTAACATTTCTCTGTATTCGATCTATGGATGAATGGAGTGCATAATTGGTTGAATGGAAATTTCTGGGAAAAGGCTGAGAATGAGGAAGATAGACAGGAACTAGAAAATTAATTTTACCTAGGAGAGTAAAATAATCGATATTTTCATTAATTAATTTAAAGAGGAAAATAACATATTTTTTGATACAGTTAAGTGCTAGAGAATCAATATTTATATTGATATTGATATTTCAAAAATGTTTATAATCGATGAAAATATAATCAATATTTCAAGTCCGATATTTTGATTATATCGATAGTTATAGGCTTATATTAACATTGATAACAATATCTATATTTGGCCTTCGATATCCCATCTCTTGTATGAGTTAGTCCGAAAATAACAATGAAGCATGTATTGCACTAGCGGGTCCATGATTTAATTTTGGGGAGAGGGAGGGCTCGATAGGTTTTTTCTTTCATATATAACGATAATTACTTTGGAAAAAACAAGGTACTAACTACCTATATGAAATAATGTTTAAGTGATACTTGAAGTCCTATTGTATGTAATTAATTACACGAACAATAATACTTCAATGGATATTTAATAGTTGACCGTTGCATTATAAAGGAAGAAGATGGTCCGGGGTTGCGGTCATAAATAGGCTAAATAGTGGTAAAACTATTTTATTGAAAGCTTTTTCCTTTTTCCACTTTGTATTCATTTTACTTATTAACCATGCCTCAATATTATCTAATATTCAAATGTAATTTTCTTACATATGTACAACCAAATATAATAATAATTATTATTTTTTTCCCTCTCTATACTTTTAAGTTAGTTCTGCAATGTATGTATGTAAATGAATTTATTTCTATATTTATATTTTACTTTTGCCAATTTTCGGTTTATTCACATTGTACTCTGATCTATAATCTCTCAATTCTATTTTATATGTATATTTATATATTTATAATTTAATATTTCATAGATATAGAATTTTTCCATTGTATCCATCCATATCTTCAAATTTTAGATACTGTAATTTCCTAGGTTTTTCCCAATTACCCAAACATGTTAGCTTTCCCTATACCTGACCTTACCCTTGGTTTTCCAGTTCTATGTGAACCTCCTAGCTGAACACACCTGTAAGTCTCTAATTTTATTCTTCCATTTTATTTACTTATTTATCTAATTTTTAGTCTCCTTTTTCTTTTCTTTCTCCACATCCCTTTATGTCTATTATTTCATATTATATCATTTTTCCTTTTCTTTCAATCTCTCCTGTAGATTTGTTGAAGTATATTCACATTTTCATTTATTATATATTACACTACAATTGTTAGCATCTATTTACTTCAGTTTAGGATCTTGTTACTCAGCTTACTTTGTTCATATTTTATTGTACTTACTGTTTATAATTTTAATAAGCTTATTCACATTGTTTATAAATTTTGTCTAAATATTATGTAACTGCCACAATTCTCTATCTTTTTGTATCTTGTCCGTTCTAGCCCTGAAGAAGGCCTGCAAAGTCGGGTCGAAACGTCGGCTTTTAATAAAATAGTTTTTCCACTATTTAGCCTATTTATGACCGCCACCCCGGACCATCTCCTTCCTTTAATAATACTTTAAGAGATAATTTTTTTATATTTTTTTCTATAAAACATGGTTGCATTTTACCATCTTTTGGGCGGGAGGCCCAAAAGCCCTCTCCCCTCACCTCCCGTAGATCCGCCAGTGATGTATTGCGCATATTGAACATGATATATCCGAAATACATTAAATATTTCTGACAATCTTCCATCAATAATTATAAATTTTATTATTTATTTTTATTTTTTTTTAAATAAAGAAACAATTAACGTCCATATTAAGACTAATGATGGAATGGCAGCTGTTGTTCCGCCGCTGAGTAGGCCAATCACGTAGCCCCACTTCCGCGTGACGTCTTCTTCGTGACTCAGCGGCGACCGGGCCAAGCTGCAGTCTGTCGCAAGCAGTTGTTCAACCTGACCCCGGGGGTTATATATCTCTGTCCTATATTTCTCTCCATCTAGGAGGCTCTTGTTGTTCTTTCTAAACCGAGTGCATTCATCATTTTGAAAGTACTCTAATTCAAAATAAACATTTAAAATAAAACACCGGAGCCACTTGCGGATTCAGGATTTAATCTTGTAGGCCTCAGCCTCTTAATAAAATTAATGACTTTACTGGTGTTTTTCATAGCCTAAGCCAATTATTTTTTCATGTTTTATTATTCTCTGATTATCCAGTTTTTATAAAAGACAAAATATGCTGAAATTAAACCGAATGCTGATTCTCAGTGTCCAAAAAACTAAGTAAAGTCAAAGTCGTCAGTCCGCCATGTTTGAACGCCATTTTGGGGCAGTTCGTTCACTTTTTTTGTGGAAACATTAGTTTTTTTGTTTAATAAATAGTTCCAAGGAACACAACGATATGCAATTTATAGGGATGTGGGGGGGAGGGGATGCTGCACGTTAGGAGAGTCTGGCCCACCGTGTAATATATTCTCTTTTCTAATTCTTCTGTACACTGGAGGTAAACAACACCATATCCATTTATTTGTTTTGATTTAGTATCCAAGAAATAAATTTAAATAGCTCGAATTTATGAAAAATTGGCTCCCTAAACAAATATAAAAATGTACTTTGGACTACAAATTTAGTAATCTAAATATATACAAATTAATGTATGTCTGTCTGTCTGTCTGTTTGTCCTTAGTGCATTGCTAAACCATTCAACCGATCGCCATGAAACTTTGGGAAGTTGTTCGGTACACTCCTGGGAAGGTTGTGCTTTCTCTTCAAAGCCGCAAAAAAATGTGTCGCTATAAACTGTAGCGCCAAAACGGCTTTACTGATTTTATCGAAACTTGGCTAAAGTCTTCCCCTTGAAACCCTTTTAATTTATCTGTATAACATACTTTCCCGAAAACAAGCTGAAAAATGTTACGATGAATTCAATATTCTATTTGACGATAACTAAAAAAGTACACAATTTTTGACTAATAATACCCACATTTATTTGAAAAATTCCTGGTTCGCCGACAAAATAAAAAAAAAAATCATCGAAATCGGACAGTTCGTTGCACAGTTATAGAGTTTTAAACATTTACTGCTTTCTCTTCAGAAAAGGCCGTTTCCTTTTGCTTCCTCACTACCGAAGGTCGGTAAGCATTTTTTTTTTTATTGATTAATCGAAAATTTTATAGTTACTACAGTAATAGAAATTATCATTTCAAGAAGTTATATGATTCTCCTTATGTAGGTCAATACTATTACACTTTTTTTTTTAAATTAATTTTAAGGTCAACTCAGACTGGTTCTGATGATTATGAATGACGGCGTATTAATTCAGATGATTATGAATGTTCAATTTGAATCATGAGAAAAAAAAAATCATTAGAATTAATTTAAATTGAAGCCATTTTACATACAAATTTGTTTCCCAACTTTTTAAAAATGGCAGATGTCCTTTGCTACTAATCTATCATCTATCATATATGCTTTCTATTTTCTTTCTTTTTCATTTTGCCAGGCTAAGCCACAGCAGCGCGTGGCCGGGTAAAGCTAGTTAATAATAAAATTTGAATAGCTTCAAGTTATGAACTTTTATTTATTTAATTCCAGCCCTCCCCTGCCTCAAGGCAATACAGGGTATTTGCAGCAGTGGGATGTTACTGTTACATAACAACCCATTGCTGCATTTTTAAACTATAACTTTCTGTTTCTCAGCGGCACATAGCTTGCTCTTCTCTTCACTTGTATCTCGCCTGCTTTTCTTCTATTTATTTTGGTGGCCTCCCCGTTGCTGCTTCTATTCTTCTTCCCAGAGAGAAGTGGATTGGTAGTACAACTTCTTTCTATCCGTATATAAAGATATACAGGTAAGTACAACATACTCAGCGATCTCCGGTACCCCACAACTTGAGCATAGAGGATCGATATTTATACCATACTGAACGAGCTTTGCTCGGAAATCTCCATGACCCATGAGATCCAGTAATCCGGGAGGACCCAAGTCGCCTCTAATCACGAATGGTAAAGTACTTTTTTAGGGTAGCTTCTTACGTAATCGTCAACCACCGTCGGTTCCACTCCTCTACTGTATCCTCCCAGGGGATCTTCTTCCAGTTTCTTGGATCATCTCCTATTCTCACTCGGAGGTAATCCGGTAGAGCCGCTAAGCATTCCCTCCTAATCTTGTACCGGTAGTAATCTTCTCTCAGCAGGAGGTCGAGAGGTATTCCTCCTGCCAAGACCTGCACCGCCCCATGAGACCCCGCCCTGAATGATCTGGAGTCTTGAATCAGATCCATCCGCTGAATCAAGTTATGGAACATTTAGACCAGGGCAGAAAAAGCCGTAGTATTTTAAGCAAATTTTCAACATTTCAGGCTGACATGTTGTCTGCCAGCTCATACAGGTCGATTTAAAGGAGGAGCATTTAAACCCTTCAAAAAGTTCAAAATTTAGGGGCATTTAAAGAAACTTATCTCTTGGTCAAGTTAAGATACAATTTCGAATAATACGCCATTACAAAGAGGATGAAATGTTGAACATTTCTCTCACTTACAGCATGTAGGTCCAAATTTTTGTTTCTGAGATATTTGAATCCATATTCCAAAACACTTGAATTGGTTGACCCACAAAACGCCCATGGATTAAAATATCTCAGAAACTAAAATTCGTACCTTCCTACCATACGTGAGAGAAATGTTTATTATTTTATCCTCTTTGCAATGGTGTATTATTCAAAATTTTATCTTAACGCGACGTCGTGTTAGAGAGGTGAAAACGGAAAACATTTCCAACAGGAGTACAATCAGCCTGTAAGGTTGAAAATTTTCTTAAAATAAAATACCCTGGCTCCAGGTCTAATTGGCTCCCCTGAACAAATGTGTCGCAAGGATGGATGGGGATTCATCAATCAAATGGCTACTGTTCGGATATGTGGATGAAAGAAAAAAGAGAGGAAGACTACGACTGAGATGGGCAGATGAGGTCGAAGCCGATGCAGAGAAGCTTCTGGACACTAGAGCTTGGTGGACCCTTGCACAAGACAAAGAGGAATGGAGGCCACGTATTGATGTGGCGAAAACCCATACCTGGTTGCAATGCCTGTGACGATGATGAACAATTGCAAAAACGGACATGTTGTTCTCTATCTTTAGGATACTTAAACAATACAAACAGGAATAAAAGGGAGCAAGTTTTCCCTTAATAATACGTTACTGATTTAATGAAATACATTAACTTAGATCCAAAAAATCAATACAAACATAAATTGAGATCAAGGTAGTTCAGTGAGTAAGGCACTATCCAGGTCCTGGGGGGTCTCACTGTGGAAGATAATTAATTAATCTGTTATATCAGCCATGGATCAACCATGGGTTGGTAGATACTCCTGGGGCACAACCAGCATCTATAAAGTTGGTACTCTTAATTAAATAATTAGTTAAGGAGAAAAATTCTGATGGTCCAAACATGATCTTGGCCAAATCACCTCCTTGAACAACCGTACTCAAACCAAGACCCACCATGAGTTGTAGCGCTAAAGACTTTTTTTGTATTACTTCAGCACATTAACTTTATTAAAATAAATAAAAAATAGATTTAGTAATTTTCTTTAATATTTTTAAAAATATACTCATCATAAATAAAACCTTGTACTTATTGTAATATGTTAATGGTTTTGTTCCAGCCCATCATATACTCAGGGTATATTCCAGTCCATCGGCCTAAAAGAGTTCCATAGCTATCTGACGCTTGAGGACAAATCCTGCCCGAAAGCTGAATCTCTACTTCAGGAAGGACTTGTCGCACTGAAGACAGCAACGAGGCGCTATGCTCGTCGACAGATCAAGTGGATAAGGGGCAGGTTCCTGAGATCAGCTGACCGTCAAGTAAATTTTTATTTTTAAATGTTTTTAATTTTGAAAAATCTCAGTGAAAAAACAAAAAAATTACCTAATAATTACTCATTGTTAATATATTCTAATATTTTTTGAGATTTCATTAATATCGGAATATTAATTTGACTATCGAAATGCATTATTATTATTATTTGACTATCGAAATGCATTATGAAGTTTAGCATTGTATGGGTGATTTTTCAGCAACTACCTACAGCAAATAAGCTAGGTGAAAAAAGAGGCAAGCAGTTGGATGCTATAATAATACTGGGGCAATGGATCACGTTGATTAGTGTTAAGTTGAGATCTCTCCTTGCTTAAAGACATTAAGGAGAGAAAAGAATAAAAGAGAAACTTCTTTTTCTAATTATTTCCTTTAATTTTATATCTTAGCTAATTTTTATAATAATAGGATACAGTATTTCTTGAGTGATGTGGTCCTGAACAAATCACCTTCTCGTAATACCATTGGCCTAGAGACAGTATATTTCCTTACCAGTGAATGAATGAATGAAATGAATGAAAATAAATTTATTATTTTGGGACTAGTGCCCCTTTAGAACAAGTACAAATACAGAAAGCATATTAATATTCTGGAGTATCCATAACCTACACTTTTGTATTTACAGCATGATTACAATAAAATTATAGATCATAAAAAGATATAAAAATGTATATAAATATAAAATAAACAGAGAAAGTAATTTAGTAAACAAGATATCAATGAATCACAAAATAATCAGAGTATCTGGGTGTACTTTGAAATTCTAACAGCTTAGGTTTTTAAGTGCATTTCGCGATCAATCGGACTGGGAATTTAGTAGGTGTTTGAAGAGGAGAGATTTGAAATAGGATATTGATTTTGCATTTTGAATATCTGAGGGTATAGACTTCCAGAGGGAGACAACTTGAATTAAAATGGATTTATCAAACGTAGCAGTTCGGTGAGGAGGAGGATAGAGGTCAGAGGCACGGGTTGCAATTTTTTTTATTTACTATTAAAGGATACATTTTATTTTTTTAATAATAATAATAATAATAATCATTTATTTATTCTGGGACGAATCCCTTTAGAAGAATTAACAAGGGCAAAAATGTGGGCTTTTGAGCCTCAGATATATATAAATGTATTTAGAAAGTTAACTAATAGATATAATAGAGATAAAGAAAAAAAAAAAAGTTATCTTCTAGATTAAATCGATCAAGAAAAAAGTAAATAAATGAAAGAACAATAAGATGAAAATAAACTAATAATAGTTATACATATTTACAGCAGTTTATATTTACAATTTTAGAGGGACTGGATGTAAATAAAGTGATTGAATAGGCAGAATTTATGTGATAAAATCTTTAATGTCCACTTACTATTAGGGAAAATATTATGATTTTATTTTTAAAGAAATGTAGATAATGTTTCCATTTTTAACAGTAATTTTTTTTTTTAAACTTCATTATTTGTAGGTGCCTCCAGTTTATGCATTAGATGCTACCGACCCCAGCATTTGGGATGAGAAAGTGTACAATCCTGCTGAGTCAATCGTCAAGTTTATACTCGGCACAGGGCCACCTCCGGAACAGCAGCCACTTCCCAAAGAAAAGGTCACTGCAGTAAAAAGTTTAAAAGGAGAAAGGTTATGCAGGGTCTGCATGAGAATATTTATAGGTTGGTACTAACTCTTCCATTTTCTCTGAACTTTATTCAATGTTAATATTTTCATCAGCTTTATGGTTACTATAATATTCTGATATTCTATCTGTAGGCGACCACCAGTGGGAGATTCATCAGAAATCTAAGAAACATCAAGCAATGCTGAAAAAGAAAAAGAAACAAAAGGACGAAAAGATAGTTGATGACATTCCAAATTGTTAATTAACTGGGTTATAAATCTGGCTCACTTTTACTAATGGTGTGTTTCATTAAATATATATATTTATATTGCAATTATTTGTTTTGTTTTTATTTTAAAATTTTCATTGATAGAAGTAATATTTGTTGTTTTATTCATAGGCATTCCAGACTGTTCAAATTCAGGACATATCCATCTCTTCAAACTTTCTAGTTGAAATTGTGAGGCTACACCATTTCAAGTAAATTTCAGCATGAAAACATCTATCAATATTCAGTTTCATTTCAGTACATTTTTTATTCAACCCCTCTCATGATACTGTATATTATTGACCGAAGGCATTGAGTAATTTCAAAAGTTACTTTAATATGCGGCCTTAAGAAATTAATGTTTTTGTTTTTAAAGAACTTATTGTTGATCTTGTTTCAGACATAAAGTTTTGTATTGTTTTATATGTATAATATGTACTATACCAGAATATGAGACTGACCAAGTTGCAAAATAAAAGTTCCTTTCTTAGGGTTACTATGGAAGGAAAATAAAATATGTGCATACATTTCTTCATGATGTTGATCCTAAATTAAATCTCTTCTTCTTTTACTGAACAAAAATGTTTAATAACAATGCTCATTATACCCACTGTGGATTCTGATATAATGCCAGTTTCATTATCTGATTAGTCTTAAAATAAGATGATTGAATTTTTTTGTTCCTCATAATATATAGAAAACAATAAATAACTCATCTTTAGTCAAGTTCAAGTTCTTTTTTATTTTTATTCATTTTTTTTTTAAGAACCATTCACTATGCATAGATATATACTGTCTAAGATATATCCTGAATTGAATTGGGTACTTAGATAGAAAAAAATTCTGCAAATTTGAGCTATAATAAAATTCAAGCGACAAATAACGTATATAAGATTGCATTTTTTGAATAAAAAAAAAGGTTCATATTTAGTTTACGATAATCTCCAACTTCTTTCAACTATACTTTATAACCATGTGTTTATAAGAACTAATAATGAAGGGGCTATTTTTCTTATTCTATATTAATACTTATAGAGTTACTTATTAAGTAATCTTGAGCATAATATATTATTTAGTAATAAAGTTAGTGTGATTCATAATTCATTTTGTGATAATAATAATAATCTTTTATTTATTCTGGGACGAATCCCTTAAGAATAATTAACAAGGACATAAATGTGGGATTTTGAGCCTCTGATATATATACATGTATTTACAAAGTTAAATAATAGATATAATAGAGAAAAAAAAAAGTTATCTTCTAGATTAAATCGATTAAGAAAAAAATAAATAAATGAAAGAACAATGAGATGAAAATAATTGGAAATAAACTAATAATATATATATATATATATACCCAGAATTTTCTATTTGCAATTTTAGAGGGATTGGATGGAAAGAAAGTTACTGAATAGACGGGATTTAAAAGTAGGGAGAGTATTGGAACGATGGATGTCAGGAGGGATGGAGTTCCATAGGGATGAGGATCGAATAATAAAAGATTTATCGAAAGCAACGGTTCGGTGGGCCTTTTGATATTGTAGATAAGCGATTTTGTTGCCTTATTTTAATAATAAATTTAAGATTACTAATACTATCACAATATTCTGTTGTAATAACTGTATCATCATCATCCATGGTGCAACAAACCATTTAAAGTCAATGTCTCTTGCAGTTTTGACAGCCAGACTTCTCTATTCGTTGCTCCCGCTATCAGATGTGGATTCCCAATATGAACCTCGCATCTGCTGCTATACTATCGATCCATTGGAGCTGAGTTTTCCTACTCTTGTCCTGTAATCTAGGTTCATCCTAGGAATCTAATTCTGGGTCATTCTAATTATATGTCCTGCCCACCGAAGGTGTCCTACTTTTATCACTCTTATGATGTCTGGGCTCTTGTAGGTTCTTGTTAGTTCAGCATTTGTCCTTATCCTATAAAGAGGGTTCTCCTGTGAACTAAATGATGACCAGCATTAAGAGGCATAACTGAGGGCTGATATTATGGGGATCTTGTATAATTGCACTTTCGTGTTTCGAGAAATAGCCCCGCTCTTGAAATGCTTCAGTAACCCAAAACAGCAATTACTAGCAGACATAATTCTGCGATGGACCTATGCTTGAATGTCATTATCTACATTTACTTGTGAACCAAGATAGACAAACTCTTTCACCCTTAACAGTGAATATCCTCCAGCCACTAAGTGTGATGGTTCGTGCATATCTTTTTAATGGCCTGCCTGTATGTATTGGGTTGGCAAATAAGTCCTTTTGGTTTTTCTGATTATTTTATTTTACTATGATACACTTCTTATCTGACAAATTAATCCTTAAGATGGATTGTTTATCCGGTTTGTAATATGTCAACAACTATATCTGTTGACTCTTGTTGAAACTAGCTTAGTATTGTGTTTGCTATTACACTGTGAATATGGAAGATAATATCATTTATTATCAGCATATTTTGTTGTATTATTTTAAAAAAGATAAGCTTGTTGCAGAAGCTCATAGAAAAATTTGCAGTGTTTATGGGAATGATTCCTTAACCGAACGCACCTGTCAAAATGATGCTCAACAGTCTGGTCGCCCATACGAAATTGAAACGAGCAATTTTAAGGCCATTGTTGATCAAAATCTTACCTAATTAATGCGAGATATTGCTATAGCCCTAAATATGTCACATGCAAGTCTAGAAAACCATTTGCACAAGCTCGGCTATGTTTTCAGGCTTAATGTTTGGGTCCCTCACATGATTTTTTTTTTTTTAGATCACTAGAAATGTTATAACTTCAATACGACTTTAGCTATCTACAAGAAATTTAGTAGGAATTTAGGGCCACATAAGCTACACAAAATTACATCAACCTTCGTAAACAAAGTACAAATGGAGATAAAAAATAAAAACCTATAAGAAGTTTTTGTTTATTTATTCCTTATGTAGACATTAAATCAAAAACCCATTAATACGGTTTTGATGAACAACAATTCCGCTTTCCAACGGATATAGTAGCATCGTATTTGGAGAACATTCTGAAGAGTTATGAATGATCGGAAGGGTTTTGTGTTCCACCAAGACAACACTAGGCCCCACACCTGATTGGACACTAGCAATAAATTATTGAGATGTGAATGGGACTTTTTGCCCCACCCTCCCTGTTCACCAGACCTAGCTCCAACTGACTACCACTTATTCCGGTCTCTGTAAAACTCCATGAATGGAAAGAAATTCCAAAAGGAAGAGGACATCAAAAACCACTTGGATCAGTTTTTTAACAATAAATTCCAGACGTTCTATGAACATGGCATTATGCAGTTAGTGAAAAGATGGGAGAAAGTCATATTAAATAATATTCACATTGTAGATTCGTATTTATATATTGTCGATTAAAACAAATTTTATGTCTATAATAGATTGAGTTTTATTTCACTCTGAAAAACAGAAAGGACTTATTTGCCAACCCAATATTTGGTTTTTTATTCATTATCTTCCAAACCCACTCTAGCCACTGGTATCTGAGACTGATAAAAGTGTTTTTTTTTTAATTTATGGGGATATTTATGTCATCGGTGAAATCCAGAGTCATAGTTGGTCTATTGAATATAGTACCCACACTTGTATTTCAGATTTTCGAGCCGAATTAAAAAACATGCATGCGAGGCAATCGCCCTTTGTAGTTTTTAAAGCTATCAGTTATGTCACCATGAACACGCACTGTGCATTGTACCTACCTAATCCAATGAGTCTGCTTCAGTGGTATTCCCATTTCTAGAAAATTCTGGTATAGCTCATTCCTTTTTATACTATCGTAGGTCATTCGAAAGTCAATGAACAGGTGGTATGTGTGAATATTACACTCCCTGCACTTCTCCAGGATGTTTCTGATGAAGAATAGTTGATATACAATAGACTTTATTGGAATAAAGTCTGTCTGCCACTTTCCTATACCCTATTCAACAAAAGAAAGCATTTTTTTTTTAAGTATCCTGTTAGTATTTTATGTAATAACTATATAATGCATTTAAATATAAGAGGAAGAGGTTTTATACTGTGAAGAGAAACAAATTCAAAAGTGTAGACAAAACTTTGCTGAATCCGAAATTGTACAGTCAAAGACATCCCTATTGGTGGAAATTATGAGAAAGCAACAGAATGATGCCAATCCTTCAACTGAGCAAGAAATAGCTGGAGCAATTAGGATTGTTATAGTTATTCGGATAAGTTTATTATTATGAACATTTGATTCATTATCTTTTAACTTTCTTATAATTCATAAAACTACTACATTTTAAATAAATATTTTATTATGTACATGATGGCAACCTCAAGGGAGTTGGCAAAAAGGACCATGTGGCCCACATGCCAGAATAATTCTTCCCACCAGTACCAGTATATTTGATAATATCCCTTACTTGTTTGGACCTGATAATTTCAGGTTCTACAATTCTGGTTTTTACATTATACATTAAAATTATTTTTAAGTCACAATTTACAGAACAAAACTGTAGGATTTAAAACATCAAACTCTGACCATAGGAATAAAACAATAACAATAAATGTAAGTCAATGAGTGGAAATTGTGAACAATCACATAAGCACAGGTTCTTGTAAATACCACTTCCATTCACTATCAATGAAGTGCATGGAACATTTTTTAATAATATTGGATTCAACTTTATAGATGACTGTTTTTCCGACAGTTAACTATATTTGCCTTATCTCGACCAAGTTACAGAAAAAACTATTATGTACTTACACCACTGGGATTAAGGATTAAAAATATTGTATTTGGTAGAGTACTGTAAGTTTTCTTAGGGTAATTTAAAACATATTGTGTTCATTACATAAAATTTATTTGTAAAATATAAAGCCATAAAATTGAAGATGCTTTCTGGTATTCAATTCTTTTATTTTTTCAAGAATAATGATGAGCTCTCCTACTAGATTAATAATTAGCACTAATTGCACAGTTGTTCATTTAATAACGAATGTGTTACCTAGGTGATAGCAGTTATTTTTCGATATAGATATTTTCCCTTAAATTAATATTGGGCTTATATGAAGCTGAACAAGTTGAACATATATTATGGTTTTGAATTGGCAATAAGAATAATTACAATTATGTAATAATATAAATTGGCAATAAGGTGTGATGTATAATATAGATTTTGGTTACGTTCAGTTAATTTTATGTTGATAAAAAATAATACAATCTGAACTATAGAATACATGTAAATTAAAGTTATACAATTTAAATAACGAGTAATACAATTAAATGAACAGTTGTATCATTTGTAAAATGGGGGTTGGTCTGATGTTAGGTGGATTGGGAGTACCCCTCTAGTTTTTAAAATTACTATTTTCCATTTATAATATTGAATTTATATTATTAAAAAAGTTGACTTCTGGCTAATACTAGAGTGTTTCAACAAAAAATTCAAAAAAGATAAAATTATATGTGGGTTTTTAAATTATGCATTATATTTCAATAAGCATAAATAACATTATATCTACAAATAAATCAAAAAGTAGTAAAGAAGAATAATTAATTACGTTATAATACTTTGACAGAATCTTTATAATTGTTTTTAGGTTGAAGCAACTAAAAATGATGGATCTGAAACCTCTGTCTTTGTAGAATAAGGAAAGCGTTGAAAGATGATTCCTGTCCGAGATTATCTCATGAGAAACTATACTTCAACAAAAATAATCAGATGGGAGGATCAAATTACCTTTGTTAAATCACTGTACAAATAATTCTGTAATTAAAAGATTATACTGTGCTAGTCATCAAAGGTATTATTTTTAGGGACATATTTATAGCTTTAGATTATATTGAAAAACCTTTAATTTACTTTGTTGTAACATGTTTTTTATTTAAAATATTTTTTTATTATTTATAAAATAAATCTTTATTTTAAACTGCAATTATGTAAATATTTTTCCAAATTTACCAAACATTCATGTTAATATTGTATAGTCCTTTTTTATGATAACTCAAGTGTTTTAGGACCTAAAGCTGTTTAGTGCAGAAAAACAGTGTTCCAATTTTCAATTATTATTAGAAAGTACTTTGCTCAAAAATAGACAAAGGTTTTTTTTTCTGCAATTTCCTCTCCTAAAAAGCGAATACCTGTTTAAAAAAATTTTATTCATAATGGGATCAGAGATATTATATGTGTTCAAGACAAACAGTAACTTTAAATTGAGAATTGAAAACAAAAACCAAAATAGAAGATTAGCTGACATTAATGATACGCAGAAATAAGATTTGAAATACTAACTTAATTAGATAAGTTTAAGCAGAAAGGAAATGATCGAATGCATATTTGTAAGTACCAACAGAAAACCCTAAACAGCTTTAATTGGAACTCAGAAATCAACCAGAAAAAATTAGCAACAAAATAAATGAAAACAGAAACAATAATATTATTATTTTTTCATTAACTGTTTTGTAATAAAATTTCATCATTTAATTACTAATCAGCCATTGTCTTTAAAATATTGAAGACTTAATTCTATAATTTCAATTTACTTTTCAAACAAAAAAATTAAATCAGTTAGCCATGGAAATTGTTGTTGAGACAATTCGTTCTCAAAACCTAATTCTGTAAAGTTTTTTTTATGGAACTTTCTTGTAGATCTTAATCCATCTGTTTTGCTGAATTTGAATTGATGGTTAAACTATATAAAATTGTGAATGAACTCGACTTATGCAGTCAGCAAAGAGAGGTAGATGCCATTGAAATCTTCTCATTGAATGGCTTAATCTTCAAATTTAATCTAAAGGAAGATTTTTCGCTAATGAAATTGACAGAGCTTCCAGTGTCAATCAACACACAAACTTCTGAACCATTAACAACAGCTTTGGCTGTTGGCTTCATCAAACTGTGGGCAACTAAACCAGAAGGATTACTTGCAACAATAGCAGCAACGGTTCGTTTCTGAGACGTAGTAGACCTACAAACTTTAGAATAATGACCCTTTTTCGAACAACGATTACAGATAACATCCCTCGCAGGACATTTGCTGTGAGTATGTTTCTTAAAACCACAAAAATAACATCTGACAGAAGTAGCAGCTGAGGTTATATTTTATTCTTTAATATAATGAGGTGTAGCACTCTCATTTTGTTCTCTAATATAATCAAATGCAGCATCCTCAGCCTCCCCATTATTACTAGATTTGCAATCAGGTACTGCATTGACAGAACCTATGGGAATCTGATAAGACATTGCCTGAGCTTGAGCTAACTCAAGGGCTCGAGCTCGTTTGTGAGCTTCCCTTAATTCATAACAAGTGATACAATGGAATAATATTTTTTCTTAAATTAAATTAATCTTTTTCTTTTGTTTTTTTGTAATGACTGTATTTTTTCGATTTCCTAGTGCAATACAATTCAAGAAAAATCTATTCATATGATAAAACAGTGCTTGTAACATCTGTTTGAAAACTACTATTAACCAATAGATAAACTATATAATATTATATTGATCATGTTATAAATAATTAATTTCAGTTAACTCAAGTAACCTGAGGCAATAAAGGGAATTTTTTTCATTTAAACTTCCTCTTCTTGAATTTCGTCTCCTAATGGTTAAATAACAACTGCTCTGATTGCTCTGTTAAAAACAATTGAATCATTCAGATGAAATATATCTTAACCCTTAGTCGCATGATTTTTTTTATTTTCAAAATAAAAATTCCCAGAGTAATTAATGTAGAGGTTATGTAACAACTGAAAAATAATTTTAAAATTGTAAGTGATGTAGATTGTCAGAGGGACAATTTCATTACCCTGATGTACCAAAAGATCGTACTGAGATAAGGAAATAAATGTTCTCCAGAGGAACACTATGCGTATAAGAGTTAATCTGTGTGTCTTAGGCGATTTCAAAGAACATAGTCAGATGAGGAATTAGTGTGTATTTCATAATTAATTTCTTTTGAACTGTAGAAATAATAAGAATCAAACTGTGATTGTTAATTAAGTACTCAATGATTTGTTGGTAATAATTTTTACAATTGTATACATTGTCTTCTCCAGATAAGCCAGTGGTGATTTCCATAATCTCTTGAGTGGTAAAGTCATAAGTCTTTCAAGAATCACAAATAAACAATTATAAAGTTAATTTAAATTATGAACTAAAATTGATAATTGTAATTAAATAGGATAATAAACAACAACTTTAAGACAAAAAAATATTAATTTAAAATGAAAGCAAATAAAAATGTGTTTAATAACAATAAAATGACAAAACATTTGTCAATTTCGAGGTGTTATACTAATATAAGGTCCATTTTCAGAGCGAAGAAGCATTTCTGGATTGAGTATCATATCCTTCTTCGATTTTATTTTGTAATGAAGTACCAGATTAGAAATCATCACCTTCAACTCAAGCATTGCAAATTTTTGACCTGAAATATTATAAAGGAAAATTAAACACTTTCCTATTTATATGAACTAAAAAAGCTAATAAAAATAGACATATGATAAACTAATACACATACAGAATTTTCATATATTCATACTATAAATGGATGATATAGCAGCAATCTGCAAAATGCGAACTGACAGGACAATTCGAAGTGCTGTTATCAAAAGAATGTTATAGAAAAGGAATGTTATCAATACTGACAAGAGCAAAATCATTCAGATAGGAAAATTACAGGAAAATGTCAAAGTGTTCTGTAACAGAGAAAAAATGTTAGTACTCCAGAATTTCACTCACGGTGTGGGAAAGTGTATTCAGAAATCCTACTCAGGATTAACAAGGCAAATGCGGTCTACTCCCAAATGTGCAATACTGTTATTGGAAAGCAAGAGGTGGGCTGAAATGTGAAGCTCCACATCTTTAAGTCGATACACTTGCCAGTACTCCTATATGGAGCCGGAAGTTGGAAAATGACAGATAAAGAGTAGAGTAACAGCTGCAGAAATGAGATTTCTTCGAAGAATTGCTGAGAAAACAAGAAGAGACTGCATCCGCAATGAGAGGATCAGAGAGGAACTAGCAGTCTTCTCAGTAGAGGAGGTCACAGAGTTTCGCCAGCTGAAGTGGTTCAGCCATTTTGCTGGAATGGAGTTTTCAGTGGTTCTTCAGGGACATATCATTGACAGTAGAAGACCTAGAGGTCGACCAATGATTTCACTATCATTGGAATACGTCACTATATGTGCAAAAGGAGAGGAAAGGATCCGCCAAGACAGGAACCTAGTAAGAAACAGAGAACAGTGCCAATCTTGGCTAAATGCTCCCCTGCAAGAGTTGCAATAGCAATTATTTCTAAACAACTTTGCTAGAAAAAAAAAATGATTAGAAATTTTGTTTAAATTCACTTAGCTCGGAAACATTTCACATGATAAAACTTTTTGAAGTGAAAACTTCTTTAGGCGAGTTTTGCACTTTTTTTATAGAGAGCGAATTACATTGAGAGGTCAGATCTCCGATGTGTAACACTTGGGTAAAGCCGGCTGGAATTGATTAATAGAAGTATTTTCACATATGCATTAGATTATCTCAAAAACTAAAAATCGTGCATACATATTGTCAGTAAGGGAATTATTCAGCATTTTATCATTTCTCAATGGACATATTATTCAAAATTGTATCTTAATATGATCTGTGTTAGAGAGGCTAAAAATAAAAAAATGATAACAATTTTTATAGAAGATATGGGATTAAAATATCTTAGAAACTAAAAATCGGACCTACATACTATAAGCGAGAAGAAATGTTCAGCTTTTCATCCTCTTTATAATGAGCTATTATTTATAATTTATATTTCATGTTATTAACCCGTCTTGTTGATGTTTTCACTTCTATCATGTGGTCTAAAGCACACACCTTAGTTTTTTTTTAATATAATAATCTAAATAGAACTATTGATCTATTAAAATATTAATGATGATGTAGATGATATTTCCGTGGTAACTATATAGTACTAACTGAAATATTTAAACTAAAAACACAGACTTTTTAATAAACATTTTATTAATAATGAGATAAAAGTTACTTAATCGATCTAGCAATCCATTATTCTTGTAAAAGTTTATTTTTTAGGTGACACTTATTTATTTTTATTGAAAAATACAGAAATTTTCTTTAAACATTGAATATCTATTTAGAATATTCCATTCAAGTGAATATCATATACTTTTATACCTAAATATGTAACATCATTATTTAAAAATAGTTCTTGATTTATCTTTAAGCTAGGCAATGAACAAATTTATAAAATCAAATAAGATTTTAATCTATTAAACAAACATTTTTAGAAAAAATAAATTAGAAGCTACTATGCAAACTAAAATAGAAAAACCATTTTATTTATATTTTTATATGTATAAAATATATTCATAAAATACATATGTTTGTATATGTAAATACTTCGTTTAATATTTGATCATTCCTGTTTTATATTTTATCCTTTGATGAATTCTTTCATCTCTAGAACTTTAACTGAAGCTATTTTTGACATGTACTACTTAATTATGTTTGCATGTAAACAATGAGAAAATTCCATTTTGTTATACATTCAATTTTTTTTAAGGAATCTTTGAGTTTATAGATGTTCAACTGGGAACAAATATGGAAAGTTAGAAGCTTGATACTAATATTTTAGTTTATCTATAAAATTACCAATGCAATTCCTCGGCCCAGCTGAGAATGGTAAGAAGGCGTACGGATGTTTTTGTTGCTCAAGGAATCTATCTGGATTGAATTTTTCAGCATCTGGAAATAGATCTTCCCTCCTGTGTAATGCATAAATAATAATCGTAATCTGTGTTCCTTTTGGAATTAAGAATCCACCTGGAAAAATAAAAAATAAATTATAAGGTCTGTGTCCATCGAGCCTTTTTATTTATTTTCCTTTAATAATCTAACTAACTGTTTTTTATGGTTTCAGCTTTATTAAATTTGGATTATCCATAATAAACAATGGTTTATTATTTCTAAATAGTTATATATCAAATATGTGTGACTTATCACATTATATTCCTTATAACTTCTGGAAAAATTAAATACAAAAATTGTCTCATTAAATTTGTTTGTAGAATCTGAAAATGCCTTGTGAAGGCGAAATGTTGAATAATAAATACATAATGTAAAAAAGTGCATATTTGGTGACCTTTGGCATAATGCTTTTTAAAAAAACATAAAAAATGGCACCGAACCTAAAAAATATGACTCAGAAATATAATTCAGAAAACCAAATTATTCTTTTAATAACAATCTCAACTATTTTCATAGATATGTTTTCAGCTTACAAAACCAAAGAAATCTATGTTACAAAACTGCAAAGTTTATATAACATTATATGAAAACAGTTCAAAATTCCATATTTCTGCACTAACAATAAGTTGTTCCATTTTGATGATTCCTTTTTTGTCGTTTTTTTAGATAATTTATTATCTTTGAAATATTTATTTTTAAAAAAATACCAAAAAATTATTATATTTTGAGTAATCTGTATCATCTTAAATATTTTTTCTAGCTTTTTTTTTTAGGAAAGTATGTTAAATAAATAAATTCATAGAACTTCAAGGAGAAGATTAGGCAGATAGAAGAAATTAGGCAAATTTAATTACAATTATTAAAGCTGTTATAGCGCTACAGTACACAGGCTTTTCAGCCACCATTTTGAAAGAAAAGTGCAGATGATAATATAGAGTTGGGAAAATCATCTTTGTGTGACCTCTGACTTTGATTCCTAAGTTTAAAAATCGGCCCAGTATTTTAAATTTTACATTACATACAGTACATTTTATTGTTCTAATTTATTTTAATATTTATCTTTTATTGAATAGATATCTTATTACATGAGCTGGTGAACAGAAAGCCAACTTAGTAATGCCTAACTAAACTTTTTGGAGAGGTTGATAATACAAAGCCTTAGACTATAGCTGATATATATACTCCACTAATTATAAGTTATTTGTTTTGCCATCTTCAGAGGATTAGGCAGGCGTTTCCTCCATTTAATTCCCCAGACAGCTAGTTAACCTCGAAAGAGCTTCAATTTTCTTTGAGAACCCAACAAAAAATAGTCAATTATTAATTGTACAATACATTTATTTCACATAAACAAACTTACTTGATGGCAGTAAAACATCTTCAATAGCCTCTCGGCCTATGATTGGAACTGGCGGATATAATCTTAAACTCTCTTTAATGACTCGTTCCAAATATTCCATTTTGCTATAGTCCTCCATTGATGGTTCTGCTTTACCTTCGAGAATACTAGACACTTCCTGGTACAATTTTTCCTGCGGATTATTTATCTTATTATTTAAAGAATCAGAGAAATACTTAAACTGATCAATAATTTCTTATCTATTTCATCTTTATTTTCTTCACTATAAACCCAATAATGGACAAAAAAAAAATTAAATTAATACCATATTACATCGAATATAAGGCACCTATTTTTCATTGCTGTAATAAGAAATTTGAAAAATAAAATGATCAATTAGGAAATTCATTATTTTTAGATATTTAAGGAAATAAAAAAATAAATAATAAATGAATGCTTAACCAATTAAAATAAGTGGTTGTTTTTAATTGATTTCACAAAGTGATAGTAGGAGTTTGGGTATCAATTGAGAAGATGAAAACATATTTTTTAAGTGTTTAAATTTAAATTTTACTATAGATATCTACTTTTGGTTTTATTTTTAAAGTTCTTGTAACTTAATTGTTTAAATCAAATTTTCTAGTTCAAATTTAAAAGTGTGTCATAAATTTGATGCAGTACAGTTATAAAAATAAGAACGGCATGAAAGCATATATTTCTTTCAAACCTGTTCATCTGGATGCATTCCAAGAAGCCAGGTTGTATAAGTCAAAGCCATAGTTGTTGTATCATGGCCCTGAAAAAAAATTAAACATTATTAATTTATTCAAGTCTAAAAATTATTTTAGTAGGTTCAACAAATAAGGTATTTCATCTTTATATATTGTTTACTTGAAGAATTTTGGTGGTACCTTATATCTTCTTTAATACTTTATCAAAACCAATGATTAAGCCATTATTTTAAATATTACCACCTTCTCAATGTCGAAAAATAAGCACATAAACCCAGAAAAATCAAGAAAAAATGTATGAAGAAAATACAACTTTATTAGCACATAACTCATACTATATAGGAAATTGTATAAAAAATTATATAATTCATGATTAATGGTGTATATAATCATATGAAGAGTTATTAAACTGAACACAGTTAAAAAACAAAAAAAAAATAAAATCGGACTGTTATTTGTACCAATAAATGTTGAATTTTGTACAAATATTTTGGTTTCTTACCTATTTTCAACAATCAAATTTTGTAATCAACTAAAAAAAAATAAAAATCACAAACCTCTTAATGGAAAGATCTCATTGGTATAAAACCATTGTAAAGTGTCTAAACAATCGGTATGCCTTCTATGGATCAGGTAATATAAGTTGTTTTAAATATCAAATGTAAGTGAAATAGTTTAATTAAAAAATACTTGGTCTGTACAAATAATTATTCCAAATTGGTATAATAATCATTGGTCAAATGGTAATATAACATGGAAATAAATAAATGAGGAAGTATGATTAAAATTGAAAATAATAAACCAAAACATCCGTATAAAGTATAATATGCTCTATCATTGCTAATAGAGCAGTAGCCCTGCAGCCAGGGCCAAAAAACTGGACCTTATCGCAGATGAAGGTTTGAATATAAACTATGAAAGTGTTCAACATTTTAACTAAAATATAATTAAAATGTCTACAATTCCAAAGCTGCTGGTCAAAAATGGTATTGGACTTGAAAACTTGTATTTGTCAAAATTAGTAAGTTATGGGGTCTGTTATCTAGGAAACTATAAGATACTCGTACTGGTGAGGGGACTAAGTCAAGCAAGTGGGCGTATTGGTCTTTTTTGCCAGCCCCAAAGACAATAATACCAATGGAAGTCTATTAATATCTAACTCTGTCTCAAACCTTTTCGTTTTTCTAATTAAGTTCAAAAGGATGGACTATTTTATGAAGGTAGCTTCATGTTATCCTATTCTATCTGAGCCCAAAAGTCTGTATCTGAGCTACACAAATAGGTCACATTTGTTATATAGTGAAGGGCAGTTTCTGGACAGATTGCAGAGTTCATCGCCAATATCCGGCAGATCTTTAGATGTCTTTTAAGTCTGCAATAGCCTGTTAGTACTCCAATGATGAGTCGGATTTCCTTTTTTAATCAGGCCCAGCAGCCACTTAGTTTTAAAGGCGGAGAGGTTTTTGATAAATTGTTTGGCTAGTCTGAGCCCACTGCACTCCCTTCACTTCTTAGCTGCTCTTTTCCATATCCAATCGAGGATTTTTTTTACTGATGTTTCTTGGATATTCCTATTGCAGATCCCGAACCTGAAAGTATGTTTCAGGTGATGGCACAACTGAACATCGATCATACATTGAATTAGTGCAGATCTGTTCAGTATAGTGTTATCACATGGTTTCTAGAAGCCAAAGCGGAAAGAGCTAATGACTTGGGCTCTCGGTCTAAATCCGCTTTACCAAAATCACCAAAGCTGTTTCCAAATTGGAGTACTAACTATATAAGATAGGGGCAAAATATATTAATGATTATAATCAATCCTGTTGTTGTTGTTTTAAATTTAAATTATTAAATATTGTCAGATTTAATTTTGAATAAAGCATCTTCATCGCTTGGATGCTTAGTTTTTTTATGTAAGCATAAAACCGAAAAAAGTGACCCACTAGGAGCCCCTCGCTCATAACTCACTCCTCTCTGAGGATACTATTAGTACATTTACCTCCTAACTAGTTGAAACAAAATCCCTAATTCAAAAATTGTGTTCCTTCTATTTACCTTTCTTTTGCTCATATTTCTAATCACTCATTCACTGGAATAATGATGTTCCAGCTGATTTTGCAAACCAATCAATTACAATTTTATTTTCATAGTCTGGGATATTATGACTGATTTATATAGTCTATTTTACTAACAAATTTTTGGGATTCTGGAAATTGGCTTATTTATACTTTGGGGAACTGATTGCAAAAAGAGATTTCTGAGATTTTTTTCTGAAATCAGGCTCACTTATGTATTTTAGGTTGCTGATTATCAATTTCAATTTTTCCATCTGAGTTATTGTATAAAAATAACAAAACTATCGCATTATATTAATTTTTACAAATAATCACATCATTAATTATCTACTAAATTGAAAAGAAAGAAACATCATCAAATAAACAAAATTTCGAATTTTATACAAAATTTACTTATCTGCTCTATGAATTCGATTTCTTAGGATGGTGGGTCCACTAATGATAAAGATGGTAAAAAATATAAAATAGAATAGGATTTTTCACAGTATTAATTTTCATTAATTTAAATCTCAAACAGAGATGTATCAATGTGTAGTCATTGCTTGCAAAACTTTAAATAATTTTTTGTTGTCAATAGAAAATTAAATAAATGGAAATAAAAGCAGAACATGTTGCTTTACTCTAGGGTGAAGAACAGATGTCACCCACTTACATATCAGTCTTATTTTTATAGGTATTTCATTTTTTTTGTTACATACCTAAGTGTTTTTGTTGTTTTCAAGGAGTATAGTTACAAAGGGGACAATAGAATCACAGTAAAAGAAATAAATTTGATAAAATATGGGAAATACAAACCATAAGAGAATATTCTATACATCGGTAAAAACCAAGAGTAAAAGCCAACCCTGAGATAACCAATTCCTTTTTTAGCATATGGTAGAAGAAGGGTAGCAAGTAATGAGCGAATTTGTGTGAAGTTTATAAAAACTAAAGAGTTCTATTTCTTTATTCTCTAAACATTCCAAAATCTACAACTACTTTTTATATAATTTTTTTTTATGCATATAACTATGGGTAGTAAGTTTTAAAGATTTTAGAAGCTGTTTATTTCGTACCATTAAAAAAATAATATTTGGAACAGAATAAAATCATTTGCTTGTTCCATATTGTGGGAAAAAATAATTTTTCCAATTGACAACTGATAAATTCATGGCAGTAGTTGGTCTATTCCAATCTGGTTTAATATACGAAATTCAATCTTCAATGAAGTAAAATTTTTGAGTTTTAAATTGTATCTTTTCGATCTTATCTGCTCTGGTTGACCATTTCGGATAGATAAAATGAGTTTTTTTTTATATTAGGTAAAACTTTAGTTCATTATAAGAAAAGCAACAACCCTCTAGAATTAGATAAAAAGTTTGAGTTTTCAGTTATGTTTTTTTGAATTTTGTCTGCACTAGAAATCGGACCGCTTAGTATGAGCAGACAACCTTTTACCGAGGCCCACGGAAAAGCACCCATATAGCTTGAAAGGTGGAAAAAAATATATAGATAAGTGTTAAATTAAAAAAGATTAGTGACATTCCAAATCAATATAGTTTTCTATATAATACATAACAAATTGATGAAAAAATAAATAAATTATATTTATATAGATATTGAAATATAGTTACAGTATACTATCCTAAATTGCTCAGTCAGAAACTTACCTCAAACATAAATGTAATAACTTCATCTTGGACGTCTTTATCTGTTTGAAAAGCAGGAGCATTATTCTCTTTCATTTCAAGAAGGAGCTCTAAGAAAGCTGTCTTTTTCTTAATTCCTAAAAATATTAAAAATTGATATATTTTTTATCATAAATTGTATCTGTAAGCATTATATACTGTAACTATAAACATCACTAACCAAATGCTTCATCTGATGGAGTAATATTTTTGCGATTAGATTTGAAATATTTTTTACCTCTTATCACCTATACATTCAACAAAATCTTAATTAATTTATATATTCAGATTAAACTAATTAAGAAATTAAATTATTCTATTGACTTTTTGTTACCTCTCTTGGAAGTGAAAAAAGTATTTTTAGAAGATCTGATTCTACCTTTCTCCGACCTGAGAGAGTATATAATGGTTCCATACCCAGTAGAGGATTAGCAACTCTCTCTACGAGAACAGTAGTCATTCTGAAAATACAATCATAGATTTGAAATGAAAAATTAATTTTATTCCTCTAAGAAGCATTTATCTGGATACCATAGGAATCTATTTAAATCCAACTTATAGTAAACTTAAAATAGATACATGTATACATATTTGTACAAACTTAACAAGACTTCTCAACAAGAGTGGATTAAAATAATATGTAAACTTTAGGATTTACCTAAGTATACTGGTTGGATACTCTGATTGTGGATTGGTTTGTGCTTTAAGCTCAGTGCCCATAGCTGTCTCTAAACAAACAGAGGGAGAAATGGTTAATAACATTTAAATTATGTAAGCAAGAATAAATATTTTTATATATTGATGGCCAAGAAGAGATATATTTGTTACAGCAAATACCCAAAAATTATTTTTCTGAGAGAAAACCTAACTAGTAATTTATTATAGTAGTCCGGAAACGCATGGCAAAAAAGGTGTCATATTTTATACTAAGGTTTGTCCACAATAATTGACCATACGCACAGGTCTGTTGAGAAAAATGCAGGTTTGCCAGCATATAGCCGCTGGAATACAAAATGGTGGCTAGGTGAAGATAGATATAAATAAAGAGGGCTTATAGATATAGAAAACTACCATCCTTTTTAATTTATAGTATTTACAGTCTTAAGACATGAAATAATAGTCAGTTATCCCATACCAATGGATTTCAAATCGAAAAATTGAATTTACGATTAAAAAAGTTCACTTTTTTTCATTGCTTCGCTATATCTGTCCTCATAATTCACTAACTTTGAAAAAAAAATGTTTTTTCCTCACATTTTTATCATTATTTGACTCGCCAACTCTTTATCTTTTCATTTTACGATAAAGTCATGAGAAAGAAACTTGTTTAATATTAAATTTTCTTTAAGAATATATATTACTTTACTATCTTATCTTCAACCATTCAAAGGCTAGACCAATTATAACTTAATGAATAAACCCTGTAACTATACAGAAAAACTTACTTTTCGCAATTTTCGTTATTACAAAGCTCTCAATCTGTATATAAGACAGTACATATTTATATATCAATCAATCAATCAATCAATCTTTATTTGTTTTAAGGGAAGAACGCTATACAAATGGAGTATATCACAAATATGTTATATATTTCATGTTATATATTCAAATATGTTAGTTATTTCATATATCAAGTTATATGAAGCATTATTATCCTTATGGAAATACAAATTCATTTTTTTTAATACTATTTAACAGATATTACAACACTATTAAGCATAAATTAAAAATCATATTCGGTAAAAATCGGACAGTTAAAATAGTTGCAATTATCAAATTAATATAGAATCTAATGTTGTCAACAATATACATAAATAAATACACATACACACACACAAAAATATATGTATATATATATATATATATATATATATATATATATATATATATATATATATATGATGAGAAACAAGTACGTCTGCCAGCATATAGTCGCTGGAATACAAAATGGCGGCCAGGTGAAAATAGATAGAGACCCTACATAGGTAGTAGACCTGTATATAGAGAGGGCTTATAGATATAGAAAGCTACCAACCCTTTCAATTTATAGTATTTGCAGTCTTAATACATGAAATAATAGTCAGTATAAGCACAATAAAAGACAACATGCATGTATATACATTGACTTATATAATATACATACATACATACATACACACACACACATATATATATATATATATATATATATGTATATTAGATTATAAAAATCTATACAGAAAAGCATAGATAGTAAGGAAAACAAGTAGTATATAATACTCAATATAATTTTAATATTTAACTGCCCTCTGAGACAGATTGTAATATGTTTCAATAAAAAAGTTCTAAAAAAAACATTTAACATTTAAAACAGGGGTCAACCGAACTTTTTTAACTGTAGGCCAAATAGAGACCTAACTTGTCTCGTGGGCCACAATTTGTGATTAAAAAACTTTGTTTAATAAATGACAATTCAGTTATGAAATGAACTTTCTAAGAGAAACAAAGCAATAAAAGTTGTAGTAACCATATGGAGATCTCTGATTAAGAATATTAAAAAATAAAATAAAATAGATTTCACACTTCATAAAAATCAATTAGCTGAGAAATTTTATAATGAAAATGCACTTTGTGTTGATATTAGATATCAAATTATTAAAATTTTAAGATGATTTATTTGAGAATCTACCTGCAATTGTGTCTAATGCACAGTTTGACATGAATCCTGTTATGAGGAATGGTTCTTGCCCAACTTTATCCTTAATACAGTCTAGAAGAATCTTAGAACATTTGTAAAAAATAGGAACAAACTCATCTAGGATCTTGAAATGAAAGGTAGGTGTGATAGCTTTTCTTCTCATCTGCCAAAGTTTACCTATAAGCAGAATGATGTGATAAAAAAAAAACCGTGTCACCAAAGTTCTCTTAGAATAATACATTAGTTATATATAATATAGTCTAGTTTTAAGGTTTTAGAGAAATAAGACAAAAATATATAAAATTATTATTGGATTGGAAAATAAGCCCTTTTGGTTTTTCTGATTATTTTTATGCCACTATGATACACTTCTTATCTGATGAATTAATCCCTAAGGTGGATTGTTTATCCTGTTTGTAATACATCAACAACTATATCTGTTAACTCTTGTTGAAATTAGCTTAGTATTATGTTTGCTATTGCCAAGTGAATATGGAAGAAAACATCATTCATTATCAGCATTTTTTGTTGTATTATTTTAAAAAAGGTAAGCATGCTGCAGAAGCTTATAGAAAAATTTGTAATGTTTATGGGGATGATGCCTTAACAGAACGCACCTGTCAAAATTGATATGCCAAATTCCATTCAGGAAATTTTGACATCAATGATGCTCAAGTGTCTGGTGGCCCACATGAAATTGAAACGAGCAATGTTAAGGCCATTGCTGATCAAAATCTCACTTACTTAGTGGGAGAGATTGCTATGGCCCTAAATGTGTCGCATTTAAATGTAGAAAACCATTTTACACAAGCTCGGCTATGTTTCCAGGCCTAATGTTTGGCTCCATCAATCGAAGTCAACTTGGCAACAGGCATTTCTGTTTGTGATTCACTACGGAAATGGCGACAAAATGACCCATTTTGAAAAGGTTGGTAACAGGAGATAAAAAACGGATATTTTATAATAATTTAGCCCGTAGAAAATCTTGGGTACCTAGTAATGAAGCTCCTAGTCAAAACCCGGATTGCTTCCAAAGAAGATAAGGGATTTCAAGGGTATTATTTTCTATGAGCTATTGCCATCAGGACAAACAATTGATTCAACTCTATACTGTTCACAATTAACTAAATTGGATCAATCAATTAAAAATAAATGCCCAGAACTGGCAAATTGGAAGGGTGTTGTGTTTCACCAAAACAACGCTGGGCCCCACAGCTCATTGGTCACTCATAATAAATTTTTGAGCCTTGTATGGGACCTTTTGTCCCATTCTCCCTGTTCACCAGACCTAGCACCAAGTTACTACCTCTTATTCCGGTCTCTGCAGAGCTCCATGAATGGAAAGAAATTCCAAAAGGAAGAGGACATAAAAAACCACCTGGATCAGTTTTTTAACAATAAATTCCAGACATTAAATGAACATGGCGAAAATGGTGAAAAGATGGGGAAAAGTTATATTAAATAATGGTCAATATTTGTAGATTAAAATAAATTTTATGCCTTTAATATAATCAGTTTTATTTCACCCTGAAAAACCCAAAGGACTTATTTGTCAACCCAATATATTACAAAATAATAAAAACAGAAAAAATTGAAAATGAAAGAGAAGAAACCTAAATAAAATTGTAATTATATTTATTTAGTTCATCACCATAATCTTGCCAATAATTATTTTAAGAATGACTCATATGAATTTTAAAGATATTTTACTTTTAAAATATATTTTTCACGTATTGTTATATTAACCCAAAAGATTTTAAAGATTTTATTTAGTAGACTTTTTAATGCTATTCTTGATAAATTTATTGAAAAACCCCTCATATTCTATTAAACTGTTATTAATTAAGGCATCTTGATTTTTAATTAGCTGTCCAAAAATATATTTTGACCTAAATCATAAAACAATGTTTTTTTCAGTCAGATAAGAATTAAAATCGCTGAGAAGCTATGTGAGTGTGAAGGCGTTAAAAGACTACCTATTTTTGACTTGTCCCATTACATAGTAAGGTCATTAGAAACAAGTTTTAATGCTAATATCATTGAGACATTAATGAATCATAATTCTTATTTTTTTTTCACACCTTGCCTATTGGACTAATTTATTAACAGAAACACTTGTAACATACTAAGAAGACTTGATTCTCCAAACTGCAAGAGGTCTAATGTCCAAACTGTCAAACAATTTTACAGGACAGCCTTTCATTGAAGTATACTAGTAAAAAACTACATATGACATCGAATTTAAAATAAAATTTAAAGTACAGTGGAACACGGGCGGATCTACGGCTGAAGCCTCCCCTCAATATGGAAAAATATAACCATGTTTTATGGAAAAAAATATTAAAAAATACCTCTTAAAGTATTATTGTTCATGTAATTACATTTAAAAGTACTTAAGGAATAACTTAAACACCATTTCATATAGGTAGTTAGTTTCTTTCTGTTTTTCCAAAGTAATTATCGTTATTTTTATGAAAAAAAAAGGTTTCGGGCTGAAGCCCCTCCCAAAATTAAATCCTGGATCCGCTAGTGCAGTGGAAAAGTGGTGAAAAAAAATCTACATTCTTAAAAACTGCAAAATTATATAAGAGAGTTTATATAACCCAACAGGATAGAGACAAAATACAAATAAATAAATAATTTATAGAAGAAATATGAGTCAATGAAGAAAAGTCTAGAGTATGTAATAATGAATAATGAATTTTTTTTTTTTATATTTATTAAAATAATTCCATTTGTCTTTTCTGCAGAGCTATTTAACATTGTATTTAAGGATTTATTAATGAATGCATAAATTTATGCAGATTTATAAATGTTGTAATAAGTCAAAATAAATAAATAAAATAATGTAATGTTTTTCAAACGAGATGCACGGATCCAAATAACAGGCACAGTGTTTAAAAGAATGGTTCAGATCCTTGGTTATGCAGATGATCTGGATATTGTTCGGTAGATCCCAGGCTGCAGTTTATGAGACTTTCCTTGCACTGGAAGCAACAGCTGGACAATTGGGACTTTGTGTAAATGCTGTGAAAGCCAAGCATAACCAATATGACCTCCGAGTTTGGTATCTTGGCAGATAGTGTGCAGTTTGGTTCCCAAGAGTTTGAAAAAGTGGATGAGTTTGTCTACCTGGGGTCTCTGATAACTGAGGGAAATGACAATACAAAGGAAATTTAGAGGAGAAAAATCATTGCTAACCGACATTGCTAAGGACAACAAAATTACGGCTGTATAAGACATTGATCACGCCTCTGGTCCTGACGTACGGCTCGGAGTCATTGGTAATATCACGGATGGATTTCGAGAGAAGAATTCTGCAAACATATCTCAGGAGTGGTTATCAAGAAATATATAATCTTCTTGATGAACCTGACATTGTGAAGCATATTAGGCTCTGGAGACTGAGGTGGGTTGGCCATGTAGCACGAATTTCAGAGGATGAGATCCCCAGAAAAATAATGAATGAGGCCATTCATAGTACCAGGTGTAAAGGAAGACCACGTCTTAGATAGATGGATGGCGTACAGATTGGCGGAAGTTATTGGAGGAGGCAAGAGATCAGTAATGGTCTCTCGAACCAATGGAAGAAGAAGAATGTTTTTTTAATATAAAAGTTTATAATTAGAAAAGCTTATATTTTCATACCTGTGCTTACAAGAAGTCCTGTCTTCAACCAAGGCACTAATGTTTTATAACTCTCTGATTTTGTTAATAAAGATTGGCTAGACAAAATTGCCTAAAAAATGTTCAATTAAATAATGTAAATTAAACCATGTTAGTACAGTATATTCATAACTTGTAATGGAAATATTTTAACTATGATTACTTAGATTAAATAAATGAGATTATTTAGTTTCTAAACATTTATTTTGTTAAAATACAAGTAAAACATTTAAATTTATATTTGTAATAAATTTTTGTTTTATATAATATTATTTTATTTGTCTTATATTATAAATTTCTCCTCCACATTATAATAAGGCAATGAAAAAAAAAAAAAAATGAAAATATATCGTTAGTTATCGATACAAATTTGTTTTATTAATTCATTTTATGTTTCCTACTTACTTTAATATCTTCTGGGTCAACCATGAAAACATGTAATTGAGGTCCAAGCCAAACCCGAAATGTGTTCCCATATGTTTCCATTTGTTTTTTCCAACATTCTGGTGCCTCTAATGAAAAATAATTCCACTTTTTATAAAAAATATTTAAATACCTAATATATATACAAAATGAATTATAAATTGCTTATAATATTCTGAAAGGTTTACATCGAAGTAGAGTAGCAGGATTATGAGTTTCTTAGAGGAAATCAGAGATAAAACAATTTTAGTGTTTATTTGAATTTCAATCAAGCCGAAAGTAAATTAAAAAAGTGACTCATGTATAGTGCAGATACTATTTCACCTTGCGTGTGACCAAGCAAATCTTCACAACACAAGTCTTTCAAATTCCTAAGGCTGATTAATATAAACGGTTTATTCTGTCTTGGCTAAAACTATTTTCCAGTTTTTGTGGATAGAAATAGTTAATAAAAATTAAGTTCATAAGAAAAAAATCCTTTTTACCTCTAAATAAAAAAAATAATAAAAGAAAAAAAGAAAAACTTTTCCAGGTACTTAAAATGTTTAATTTGGAAACTTTTTTAAAAATAAAAGTAGCCATCATAATAATATTAATAGATGATAAATTTGAAGATAGTTCAAATTCTAAGGAATCCTTGTTTAAGATAGAAATTTATTTTCTATATTATAAAAACAAATACTGCTCCAAATAACAGAAATATTTATGAAATTGGACTAAAATTGTTCAATAATAGGTTATTGAACAATTTTACTCCAAAAACAGCTTAGAAATTCTCATAAAACTGTGTTCTAAAAACAAAAAATAGCTTATGATAATTGTTTTATTTTTTAATATACCAGCTTAAGCAAAATTATATAAACCATTTATGCAGGTAAGTACCATTTTGTAACATTAGATTAGTTTTGTTGGAAAATAAGAGAGGAACCAATACAATGCAACTTTTTTTTTCTCTGCTTAACTTTTTTCAGGACAGTTATATTATCATATCCTGAACAACACTTCTTTCTCATTTCATATGTCATTTAAAAATTTTGGATTCACCCCTAACCGAGCTCTTTCATGGAAACAACTGTCTTAAAAAAGTGGGTAGCCAGAAGCGTAGTCTAATATAGTTTGTTGTTTTATTTACTGTTAAAATTTTCTTTTCTTTTATACTATATTTCTGCTTAATTTACATTGTTTCTACATATACTATAGCATGGCTATACTTTTTTGGATACTATATAATATTGTTTTAATTTTATTTTAAAGGGACTGAGTTCCAAAATTTATAAATTTTGAATTCTTAATAAAATATATAGACGAATGATTATCATTATTTACTATATATCATACATGTAACACAAAATTTACAAAATTACTTGTTCTTACTTGGTCCAATAACGATGAAATTGAAAATGTTCCCGAATATAGGCAAGGCTCTAGGACCTGGGATCTTCCTCGCCATCCTGCTCATCCTGTTCGGGAATAGCAGCCATATCAGGACGACTGCTAATATGGCTGATAGATACAGGAAAAAATCCATCAGGTATCTGCAAGCATAATATATTTGGTACACATTTTTTTCCCTTTATATATTTACATGGATAATTTTTTTTAAATATTTTTATTTTTAAACAATTCCATTTTTAGTAAACATGAATATAATGCACTCAGGGTAACAATGCAAATTAGAACATTCCTAAATAGTATATGCATGAAATATAGGACAATATAAAATATAATATTGCTAAATATGGGGCAGAGCTCTGATACATATATATATATATATATATGTATGAGAAAAATATGAGTAATAATAAAAATTTACCCCAGAAGGAAGATAAAATGTTTTTTGCATACCTTCTAAAAACTATGTCAAAAATCCTACCTGTATAGTGTGTTTTTTTGTTAAAAAAAAAAAAATGAAATGTACCAATTGTATTTATTTCAGTTAATGTATTTCAATATATCTCTGATGACAATGGCAATACTACATAAGACTCTGGACCATTGAGCCTTGGCATCCCCCCTCCCACCAACTTTCAAGGTCGATGCATCCCAACCTTGAACATTTCAAAAATTAGGACTAATTCTTCAAAAAATAATTATCCATTGCTGAAATGTGAAGCGAAAGGCACCCAACTACTACATCAAGTTTGAATATTTGCAGCATCTACCTAGAGCCATGGATAGAACTAAGCGTCTGGAATAATTTATCTAGGTTCCCTCAATATTAAATTTACCAATAAAACTCGGCCGAAACCTTTTGTTAAGCATGCTAGAATATTTTTGTAAACATAATCATCATCTATAAAAGGCTAGGAGCTACTGCCGGTTCCATTTTACTGAAGGACTTACAGCTAGAAACCATTTTAAATCATTGATAAACCTCTCCTGAAGACATAAATCCGGATATTCGCTGGAAAGCCGTTGCTTTATATAAGCAAATTTAAATCAAAGTGGCGAAATTTGAGGTCTCATTTAACGAGAAAACTGACGGCTGAAAATTTGATGAGATGTATAATATATGCCAACAAAAAAGAAAACTTCTTGACTGCCCGTCTACTTAGTTGCGTTTCGAAAACTGAGGAGTGTCAAAGTCACTAATTTGTGCGGTACATTTAACTAAAAGACTTACGCTTGGAACTTGGCTCAAAATACATAGCAAACCAATCAAAACGACGTAAATTGTTGCAATTTTAAAACTGAATATAATTTTTAATTTGGGTTGAAGATATTAAGCGAAAAACGTAACGGCCGAAAATGATCTCATTCGATAGATTAAATGAAAATGAATCGAAAGCATACCAACTGACCGCTTAAATCGGTCGCAATTTAAAAACTGATGCCCATTAATTTACTTAATTCGTGGAGTGTATTTAACTGAAGGACGCTTGGAACTAGGCTCAAAATACTCATCGAACCAATCTAAAATAGAATGCGAGATGACTGACGACATTAATCGTTGTAATTTCAAAACTGACTTTTTTTATTTCAGTTCAAGATATTCAACGAAAAACATGATGGCCAAAAATTATCTCATTCGATAGATTAGATGAAAATGAATCGACCCCGTACCAGCTGACCTCATAAGTCGCTTGCGATTTAAAAATTGATGGTGCCGAAGCTACTAAGTTTTGTGTTGAATTAACGGAAGGACTTACGCTTCGAACTCAAAATACGCAGCAGTCCAATCTAAAATAGAATTCGAGATGACTGACGACATTAGTTTTTGCATTTTTAAAACAGACTTATTTTGTGAACATGGGTTAAAATATTTCAACGAAGAACCTTACAGCTGAAAGTAGTCTCCTTCGATATATAATACAGAAATGAATCGAATGTATTGCAACTGATCACTCAATTCGGTGATTGAAAAACTGACGCCCCCAAATCCTCTATATATTTTGGGTAAATTTAACTAAAAGACTTACGCTTGGAATTGGGCTCAAAAATATTTGTTATAACATCAGCTGTACTTTTTTTTATAACATTTAGAATGATATAAAATATCAATATCTTCACCTGGGATAAAATCCATCACCGGGAATTCAAGCTCGGTATATTTTAGATTTCGTAATTTTCTTATTTCACATACATATCACATACCAGACTGAAACGACAAGAAACCGTTCGACGTTTCCGATTACTTCAGCACTTATACTAGACGAACGCTCTAAACTTCCAATTAATTACAAAAGACTCATATACATGACTATAATAAGGCCTATTTGGAATTACGGAGTTGAGCTACGGGGATCCACTAAACCATCGAATTTCTCTCATATCCAATTCTTACAATCCAAAATCCTTCTTAAAATCCTCAATGCTCTCTACTTTGTTATAAATAAAACAATCCATAATGATCTTAATGTTTCTTATGTTTCAGATCTGGCCCAATCCAGATACCTATCCTTCTATAATAAACTTCAAAATTATTCCAATCCTCTCGTTTCTAACCTTGCTTTCTCTTTAATTCCTGTTAACCCTCCGAGGCGTCTGAAAAGAAGATGGCCCCGTGATCTAATGTAGACATATCATTAGAGTGCTACCAAACTCCGGATCCGAATATCTATCCGTTTCAGGACCTTTAGAATAACATATTTATATTTTATATTGCACGAAATTGCATGTTTTGCCATTTTTGGCTTAAATTGGATGATTTTCATTTGTGTTGCATTAAATTGCATATTTTTGCACTTTTGTGCTAAATTAGACAATTTACAAATACAATCGTATAAATGAGTGTGTTAATATTTACTTTACTATATTGTTCAAATTAAATTTATTATTCAAAATAGAAAAATATGAGGAAGCAAATAATTCTGTGTGAAGCAAAAATCGTATTCATTTCAAAAAGAAGAAGTAAACACAAGCTATTCTTGTGATAGAACTTGCCTAAAGTATTGGATAATAAAAAGCTGCTTTGTTAGAATTAGGTGCTTTGTTACTAAGGCATTTATAGTTATTGTTTTCGCTTGAATCTTCACTCACCTTTCAAACCTTCAGTATCTTTTCTAGCTTTGAATTGATTTGTAGAAATTTCATTCATATATAAAAAAAAAAAAATTGATGATGTTGAAAGCAAAATCTAATCTCCTGTCAAAAATTAAAATATAGATAAAAAAATAATTTGAAATGAGAGGACAAAGAATTTGTCCTCTACAAATTATACAACTTACAAGAGTAAGTTCTATACACCTTATGAATCAATTAGATGATAGGAAATCACTGGTAGACGCTCATTGAGGAACATGTAAATAAAAATATTCTAATCAAGGAATTGAATGATTTTTTTTGTTTTTTTAGAAAGAACGTAATCCCCAAAAATATTTTTTTAGTGATATAGAAAAAAACCGCTTCAACACTAATATTTGAACTTTTGAAAATCTCAAACATTATTGTTTATTTGATTTTTTTTAATTCTTTAAATTTCAACAAAAGCGTTTTGGAATGTATAATATTGGAAATTTCAACTCTATTAAAAGCTGAAGATTTGATTAATGTTTTTACTTTAATTCCTGCCTTCATTTATTCCTTCAAACCTTCAATATTCTGCATTATTTTATAATAATAATAATAATTTATTATAATAATAATAATTTCATTTTCAATGCTACATTTCAATTTTTTTTTTTATCTCTCGGTTGAGTTAAGATCTGATAAGAAGTCGATGTATTAATGTTATAAATTAAACAATACCGATGATTTTACACGTTTTTATGTATTAATTACACAATTTTACGTATTTTGGATTTATCCTGCACGACTTTGCACATTTTGAGTTTTCTACTGCACGAAAATCCGGTCTCTACCTATAATTAACATCATCAGAATTCACCGTCAAATCGAATGCGCCGTTTTCAAACTATAGGCATATCAAATAACCTGAATAATTTCCAAATAAACCATAATTTCCTGATCTGAAAGCGGAACCGTTTTTATTTGGAATGTCAGATAAAATTTGATAAAATTGATGCCTATTTCATTTTACGTTTACCAATCCCTAAATTCCCTCCAAATTTGAGCTAAATCGAACTTGCGGTTTTAGAGATATAGACTTATCAAGGAAAACACATTTGCTCATATATAAGAGAAAGCAAAAGAATGAGCTTTTTCTGAAATATTGGTATATCTACAAAATGCTGGTTAGAATTTAATGCAATTGATATGGGACCATATAGACACTAACCCGCACAATCCCTGAAAATCGGATAAACGGTAGTAGGTGATATGACCGTTACATCGATTTGGCCACAGACCGACAGACAGACAGACACCGAACCAAATTTGATCCTTGATGTCTGAGGCATAAAACGCGAGTGGAAATTTTCGATTCTGAGCAGAAAGTTTTTTTTAACTTCTCGCATGAATACAATGCTTCCGGAACTCTTATCATGTGCGAATATGATCAATGGTATTCAATAGATATTTATAACCTAAATTTATGCCCTAAACCTCATATAAATAATTTTCTCAGAAATTAAAAATATACAATTTTATGAATTCAGAACTACCAACAACAATAATAATCGTTTATACCAATCTATATATGTTTATCTAATACTACAGCTGTACTGAAATGTAATTATGTTATGAAGGTTGCCTCTCCTCTCCACTGCTTTTAATCTAAACAAATACGTAAGATATTCAAGTGTATTATTTTTAGACATTTTCAGGTATATTTAATAACTAAAACAAAAAAATTAAAATCCTTACAATTTTACGAAGAAATTAATTTTAAACATTCAATATTATATTTGTTCGTTTCACAATAAGTATGTTGAATTTTAACACAACAAAAACTCGCCATTTTTTTTTTTTTTTGATCAATCGCCCCCTCCTCCCAATTAAAGTCATAAGTCTGCGCCTATGTAGATAATGACTTGAACTATAAGTAAAATAGTACTGGAACTTCTTTTTCTGGGAAATTGTATGATATTCTTTGTTATTTGGCAATGATTACTTTCAATTAGCAACAATTGAATTTATTTCTTGTGTGATCAAAGTTGCATGTTTACAAGTTTACGTTAAGAGATATTTACTCCCA